CTCGCAGCCGCACAGGAGGGAAATGCCATCCAGCAGGTCCAAGGGTTGAGGGCTGCAGCGTGTCAGCTTCCAGCGTGGGAAATGCAGGCTCGAGTCCAGTGAGGAAAAGCAGCTATAGCAGCAGCACCTTCCCTGACCCCTCATCTCTTTTACAAGGGGCAGGAAAGTCTGGCTGCAAGGAATCAAGAGAGAGCACAGGCTGCTCCAAGAGAGCCACCTCCCCAGGTCCCAGCACAGCAGAGGAGCTGGCATGCTCTATGCACGACTAGACCAGAACACAGACAGCTGGGAGTATGAAGAGATGCTTAGCTTCAGCTCACCACCAGGCACATGCAACAGGCTGGTACTTATTCTCCCTCTAGTTTAGAAGACATTCCCCTCAGGGGCTGCCAACTGCCACAGTGTGCAGGTAGCACTGCTGTTCTTTCATGGGAGCTCCTGCTCTGCTGGAGAGGGTGAAAATCAAGGCTAGAACATGTCAGATCTTTGCCCTTGCAGAAGATGGTTTATCTAGAGCTGCCTGTTTTGCTTGCTTTTTCTTCCTCCCGCAAAATAAAATCTAATTTATTTAAAGATACTGTTGGCTGTACAACCAAGGTTTGATTTCAGATGGCAAAATCCAGTCTGGCAGGTAGTTTTGCCCTCTTCAACAATATAACACCTCATGGCATACAGCCACAAGTAGTATGGTGATTACTTGTGTTGGCTCCAATAGTCTTTCCAGCCAGTACTGACAGCTGCCATCCAATCTTAAAACTCCATAGGTCTGGGTGTTATTAACCTTGGGGGAAAACTGCCCTGGGCCACGCTTTAAAGTTCCTCATTAACTGAAAGAACAACTTTACTGTTTGCTTGCATTTGTGAGCAAACAAGCTGGGTTTTGCACAAAGAAAACAAACCACACTACCCTAATGCTTCTTTCTGGATGGTTTTGCTTTCCTTAGCCTGCAGAAGGTCCCAGGAGCTGAACAACCACAGAAACAAGCCTGTGTAGGAGGAACTGGTAGAGGAGAGGAGGGGGCTAACATGAAGGATGCCTGTAAGGTTAAAAGAACTGCCAAATGCTAAAGATGAGGGCTTGAAACAAAACAACACCCCAGAAATCTACCTCTTTCAAACCTGAAAATGTGGTACAGCCAGCTTTTTCACACTGTTAATTTCCTCCGTGACAGCTCCACACAGAGCTGTGTGTGTTAGACCAGCTCACATACACTGCAGCAGGCACAGAGGTTTTAAGGAGACATGTGCTGCATACACATTTTGCTCAACTATGTTTTCAAACACTGTTTCCATTCTTTCAAGAAGCAGATGGTCATTCTCTTTTTTTACATGTTTTTTAAATTTGGAAGCAAGAACAAACTGAAAAAGAAAGGACATGGACTTTGAACTGTTCTATATTTACTATTTTTGGCTGCAGATAGTTGAACTTGATCCCATTACAAGAAAGCCCCTCCCACTCACTATTACACAATTTCCAGTACATGCACTTCAGGATGTTCACTACTTTCCCTGTCTGGACTTCATACATCTGGGTGACCTTCCTTCCCATGCAGACAAGAGGGGAAGAACACAACAGAGGCAACACAGACTTCAGACAGCATCAGGAATTATAATCAGAAGTCAGGGAAGGGATACTGAGTTCCCAACAGTGCTAACATCTAAGCAGCTGCAGCTCAGGTCAGCTAAGCCCCTTGTAATCACTGAGTGTAACCAGAGCTTGACATTAGTCCTTCCCCACATCTCTTTCTCTAAGGAGAACAGACTTCCCATCTTTTCAGGTAAGGGGTAGGAAAGGAGAGTGGCAAGAGCCCCCAGGCAGCAGTCAGTGGTTTACCGAGGAAGTGTTTGGAACAACACCCCCACCTGCTGGGCCTTCTATTTGTTGCAGTCGGGAATTGAGCAGTAGTCTGATAGGAAAAGACTTTCCCTGCAACCCTGTACCACCACCTCTGGCTCAGACGATTTTAACTTTGTGCTGAGACTAACATTTGGGTCAAAACCCCTCCTGGATACAAGAGCTGTCAGCGCCCAGAAGCGGTGCCCTCCCAGCGTGGCTGAACCTCAGTGGGAGGTGCAGGTACAAGCATCTAAAGGACAACTTTCTCCATGTAAGAGCTCTTCCTCAGAGACTGAGTAGGCAAAACGGGAGTCATCTTCATCCCAACCTATGCTTTTTGAAGGCCTGAGCGTGTCAGAAAGAATATTAAATACATGTGTCAACATGAATCAGAGAGGCCATTCACACAACTGAGTCATTCTAGAGAGGGATGCCTGGATCAGAACAGTCACACAATCTGTCTTCATCAGATGTAGCCTGTCATAATAATGACTACTACAAAGGCAAAGAGAGGCGGTGTCTGCAACAATTATTTAATCAAACAACATATAAAAAGTTTTTACAATGACTGAAAAACCTGACAGAGGCTGTAATAAGAACAGAAACTGCAGGACTACTCAGATTTAACAGCCTTTCAAAGCATCCTTCCCTTCAGTGATTTATTACTGTGGGTCCAAAACACTTCTCCATTCAGATACAATACTTTAAATGCTCCCTGCTAATAACACAGGTAGCAGAGGTCTTACATCGTAAGGAAGGCAACAAGATTTATATTTGGCTTGGTCCACCCCTCTACATTAAGAATGCAAGACATGGTGGCTGGAGGGAGATAATTATAAGGACAACTCATCATGGAGCTGAGAAACTCCGTGGCTCTAGCTGGCCACTGTCAAGTTCTGCACAGATGCAGAGCTGCTCTGCAAGTGTAACATTAAAGCACTTGCTGACAGAGGCACATCTCTGATGTCTCATCTCAAACACACTGACGGAATGGCCAGTCCAGCATGCCAAGCACTCAGCTACAGAAAGACTGGAGCTGTGAGAATCCCTGTCACGTTGTTTATGGTATCCCAAAGTATTCCCTCTCAAATTTACGGAAGTCTTCTTCAGTGAAGACAGTGCCCTCGGGCTTCTTCTTTGCTGCCTTCTTTGGAGGCTGATCTTTTGCCTTCCTGCCTCTGTTCTGTGCGAGAACCTTCAGACAATTAAAAAAAAATAAAAAGAAAAAAACCAGTCATTGTTATCCAGACCAAACCACAAAAATGGTGATTGTCAAGTTCTACTAGTACCATGCTATATCCTAGAATGCCTCCAAAGAAAAGTGAGAGGCAATCGCCTATGTTAACTAAAGCAGGTCACTGGGACAACAGCAAATACCAACTTAGTAATTGGAGTCAAATATGAAAACTACTCTTTGGTAATTGTCACAGAGATAGAAACACTTATTTCAATTCAGACCTTTCTGAAACTATGACTTTCTTTTATCCTGTCTCCAGGATAAACCCAACAAGTTGATGGAATTCCCTCAGCATTTTCTAATACATTGTCGCCTCCTTTCGCAATCTCTAGCCTGAGAAACACCGGCTTAAACCACTTGGTTTGTTTATATAGCTTAACAGCCTGGATCTCATAAAAATAGCCCAAGATTCTAGCAGTGTCAGCTATTCTCCTCTTCAAATCTTGGCATGGGACTTCTTTTTGGGGAAGGACACATTCTCAGGTTATGAGAAACATCATTCAAGATGCTATGAAATTCCTATTTCATGAGTCAGCAGCACATCTGGTTCCTTGCTAAACAGCCTCCGGCTACAGAGAAGGCCAATTTGATCAACAGCAAGAAGGTCTGAACCAGGGCTTCTTTGACAGCTGAAACAATGAAGTATCTTTGGTAAGTAAGAAAAGCCAACAGCTGTCAGTACATTTTAACTAGCATTGGAGAACATCATAGGGGACAATGTATCAACAAGATAATAAATATGGTAATTTGCTTTAGTATGTTACTTTGTCAGTGCACACAGAAATCCCTCAAGGCCACTTCATGACAGAAACTTGACTTCTTTGCACAGGGTCTAAGCTGGAAGATCTGGGAATGATCCCCATTTGCCTGTGTTCCTCAGCAGAAGCAGACCCCCCAAACAGAAATGATCATCTTACTTTTTCTGTGACTGCTCTGTTTGCAACAACTCGTCCTTTCAACATGTACTGCAGGTTTTCTCTCAAGTGATTCTCGGCCTTCTTCTTATGATACTCCTCTAGGTCAGAGCAGAGTGGGACACAACAGATCAGCATGCAAGGAGAGACGCAGGAGGACGAGCAATGCCCCGGGAGAAAGCAGCAGCACCACAGCTCAGGGACAAGGGTGCACGCACAGATCTGGCTGTGGTGAAGTGAGGGACGCCAGAAGGGTATCCAGGAGGATGGGAAGGGATGGATACAACCGACTGAGAGGGCGGCTGCGGGACACCGTAAGAGGGCCCGGTGCGAGGGCTGTGGAGTGCGGCAAAGCCGCTTCTCCCTCCCCCCAGAGCAGAGCCGGGACTCACCTATCGCTGACTTCACGACTCTGCCCTTGACTGTAGCCCTGTTCCTGCCGGGCTCCGGCGCCCCTTTCCTCCGCCTCGCAGCACCCTCCGCCCTGGGGCGATCCCGCCTGCGCTGGAGCTCCGGCGGCGCCTTTCCCCGGCCTGATGCGGGCAGAGGGATGGAGTTACCTAAAGCCGTAACACCGGGAATCAGCCTGCCCACAGCCCCCGTTCCCCGCCAGCTCACCCGGCACCTCCAGCAGCTCC